CTCCTTAAAGTAGTATTCAACTATTAATTTGTTTTTCAATAATTAATCTAGATCAAACAAATAAACATCGGCCAGCAAAGCATTTCTTTAAATTGTTGCCCAAGCACTTACAGTCATCATGTTTCAGAACAGCTCCAAGCTCTCTCAGTTCAGCTTCCCTGAACTTCCTGTCCAGTACATGCTCACAAGGGACAGAGCAGACCCCAGCAGCTGTTAATATACTAGCTTGGAGAAGGGAGGAGCAGGAGGTGGATGGATCCTGTCTTCGCCCAACCACGGACACCCGCACGGATGTGCAGCTCAGGTGAGCGTACAGCCGCGTACTCCCGTAGAGCCATAGAGATGAACAGTCTGCTGCGTACAAATCACACGCAGCACCTGTCCTTCCCGGGACCGGCCCAATACGGCCGTGCACGCCACACAGATCTGTACGGGTGGCTCTTGGAGAACTATGGGGAAAAGCCTTAACCCCATAGTTCTCCTTTAACAGTGTGAATGAGGCCTTACGCTCACATATTTGATTTGTATTTTCCTTACAGCTGGAGCGCAGAGGTTGCCTGTCTCGACTTTTTGGATCCTTTTGCTGGCAAGTTGTTGCCAGCAACAGTAGTGCTAGTGTGACATTGGGCTAAGCCTGCTATAAATGCACATATTGAATGTTTTGTAGCGTCATCTTCATCCTTCCCTTGGCGGCAGTTCTTGCCTCAATATAATTGTATGTTCCACAGATATATCAAGTCATCGCTGGCTGTTCTAGCTCTTAATTTTCATAATAACAGAATATAAAGCATTGCGGAAAGAGTTTGACTGATTCTACCTCGGGGCTACACCCAACTCTCTAATAAACAATGTTAAATTGCTGCTGCTAATTAACACCACGGACCTGTAACGTGACTCTTTTCCTAATCCTTGCCACCTCTTGGGGGGGATGGGGGGATAAAGGGAGGGGGGAGTTGACATGCACTTACCTTGCTGAAGGATCTTCCCAAAGTACTTGTTGTGACCGGTGCAGTTCCACCTCCTCGACCTGAACTGGTACTGACACTCGCGCACTCCCATCTTGGCGCCCTTAGCCACCTCGCTGACGATCTCTGGCTCGGTCTGGCAGAGCTCCGCCTGCTTACCGGCCAGGCGCTTGGTTTTGCGGCAGATGCTGTTGGGGTCCATCACCAGGGGGCTTCCAACTGCCCTGCCAAATCCGTAAAAGAAAGACAAAAAATGAGACGAGTGCTGAATATCCGAATGTGATCCTACCATAGGTGTCCATGCAGGGCAAGGCAAAAAGTTAAAGCCGAGCTCTAGGCACATCTATAAACGATGCAAAGGAATGCAGCTCTGTAATCTTTAATACATCATTAATAAATGCATTGTTTAAACACAAGCAGTGTAAGTATTTGACTTGGTATCAGCCTCTTACAGTACAGCAGGGCTGGAGTGTGAAAGGAAGAAGCAGCACGAGGAGTCAATCAGTTCATGTGCTGACAAGAAGCATGCAGATATGAGGAGACAGCAGAGGAGCAGACAGACGAGCTCATCACTTTGCTTTTTCTTCTTTCACTGTCCAGTCAAAGGCTGGGGGCGGGTCCAGGATGACGTGGGCTCAGAGGCAGTGCTGTCCGTTACACTAAGGACATCTAGAGGTACAGAAAGGTTCTTCAGGGGAACTCTCTGGATCGAAGGTGAAGATTGCACCAAAATCTGGTTTTATTATTTCATCTTTTATTGGGCTATAAATTTTTATCTTATTTAAGCCTAACCCCGCCTCCCCTTTCCCAGCAGCAAATGCTTCCCTTCACTCTCTTGCAGCGCTGGGAGCAAGGATAGCAATCTCTGGTAAGCTCCAAATCACTATAGCTGGAATTTACAGAGGACTCCCCCCACTAGACCAATCACCAACTTTTTTACATGAGAGGAAGGGGCATGAGTCACATGCTCCTCCACACCCAGAAGTAAGTACCTGGTGGCATTGCAGATCACATGACCCGGTTCACGGCACGTGGTGAAGGTTCACTGTGCCAAGCACCAGCCCAGAGCCGTCTCCTTGTACAGCTCTGCTTGTCATGTGACTGACACTCCTTGGCATGCCGTTGTGTGCAGTAGTTTTCATTTAACCAAGCGAGCGGAGCATCATTCACATTGGCAATCTGTGCATGACTCTTGGCTACAACTGATCTCCAAATTCTGGATGACTTACAGACCAAATTGAACACATTTAGCTGAGTTTTAGTCTTATTTTGGATCTGATTTCCAAAAAGCTTTTGTGGGAGACAATGGATCAAATCTTAAATCTGCATCAGTTGTCTGAGCACCCTTAGCTTGACTGTCAGTCCCACCAAGCCCCACCGTTCTAACTCAGGGCTAGTTCACACCACAAACAGTGCTTTCCGGCCCGATTTTGTGCCAGAACGTACTGGATTGCATCCCGGCTGGCTCCCATTCAGGGGCCAGGAGGGGGCATGGCGGTGCATTGAAGTCAATGGCACCGCTGCCCCCCCCCCCCC